CTGTTTTAATAAGAATATAGGGTTGAGATTTGTAGGGAAAAATCACCAGGAATTCTAACATTGGTTCTGTGAACTATTCGGCTAAATGGTTACTTTGTTCTACAGTTGTGTTGAATATTACACGTAGCGAAAGTGCAGTGGTATTATAAAGCATCATCGAAAGGCTTATCCGATACACTATTTTATATTACACAACGAACTTTTTCAACTTCAAAACAAAATGTAAAGAGATTAAATGCAAAGAGAATAAAAAAAAGAAATATTAAAACTATATACTGTAGCGTCGATACACAAATTTCCTCATGAACTAACAGAACAGCAAAACAAAAAGGAAAACAGAATAAACCGTCATAAAAAAGCTAAAACAGCTTCTCCAGAAGGTTTTATGTTTTCTTCACCACATTTGCCAAGCCCGGCCAAACTTAGCTAAATATGTCTGTCACCGACGATCAAAGAATCTTTGTCTTTCGTCCTGCAAGACATGAATTCAACAGCTGGAAATAATAAAATGATTTATAACATTTCACCAGAGTAGAATGATGTATCTTCTTTAGAAAATTCTGTCTTTGCGTATTGCAGAGTTATCTTCTCTTGGGAGCAGGTATTGAATGTTACGTCACTTGTTTGTGAGAATAACGTCATCAATTTTTGAGAAAACGACGTAAATTTCTCACACAGTCCAATGACGTAACAGTCAATACCTGCTCCCAAGAGAAGATAACTCTGCAAAACGCAAAGACGGAATAAAGCCCTGATAGTGTAAGGATTGACGTTGTTAGTAACAACAAATAATCATTCAAATAACATTCAGTGATCGAATCTCTCTAATGTTTCTGATTATAGAACCAAATATGTGTATTTAAAGTACCTCTCAAATTCAAGCATTTCATTATCTAACTTTATTGTTTTGTAATATCTCTTGAAATTTTGCATGATTGAAGATGTCTGCTGTGGAACAGCCATGAGCATATAATTTATATAGGGTCTTCTCATAGAATGGGATACCTCAGACTGTGTAGCTATTTGTAAGATATTGTGATCTGGGAGTTTTTTTTTCTATGAGAAGCAATTCAAAATGAATTACCTAAAATAAAACATATCAAGTAGAGCAGTGTTATTCTGTGTGTAAAAGCCAATTTTATAAGCAGTAATTTTCGTCAAAACGAGATAGGAATTTGAACCTAATTCCTCTATGAATATAAATTCCGTCTGTCTCAGAATCCCGGACCTCGGACGTCGTACGTTAGGAGGCGCGAGCCAGTCACTGTAATGTAAAAATCCATCGATGGTACCATGAATCTCCCATTCACACAAAGGTCAAATAGGTATAAAGCATTCGTTATCCACCCCGCAAATCTGTCAGGTTATCAAGTTTTGTATCACAATAAAATGTTAATTCGTCCAAATTTGTTCATAATTAATTACATTACATCGCTTTACTTTTGCTCAGATGTTGTGCATCTAATCATACCGTGTCTTTTTTTTTTAGGAATTTAAATTATTTTTATCTGCTTTTTCATTAGCTATGATGTACATTTAATGACAGTTTCACAACGTATCACACGATACAGACATTATGACAGTATGAATCCTCTACTGGCATGTGTTAATGGCCAGGATCAGTGGAAACATCATCCATATTTACACCTTAAGCCCCAACCATCAGCAGACAGGTCCTCTGTACCTGTTTATCGACCAGACCAGGTACCGTGTATTTAAGGTATATATATATGTGTTGTCTCAAATTATTTTGGTAATTCTCGAGTGGAAGGCTTTGGTAATAATGTGAGTTTGCTTTACAATAAAAGTAAATAAGTATGCGTTTAATGTTTAAAGATACCCGGACTACTGCCAAAAACTGTTCTGAACACGATCATACCGGGTACAGATGAACTCTACAATACCTGTAATCAAATGTCAGAACTTCAATTCCGTCTTTGCGTATTGCAGAGTTATCTTCTCTTGGGAGCAGGTATTGATTGTTACGTCATTGGTTTGTGTGAGAAAATTACGTCGTTTTCTCAAAAATTGACGACGTTACTCTCACAAACAAGTGACGTAACAAGCAATACCTGCTCCCAAGAGAAGATAACTTTGCAATACGCAAAGACGGAATAGCAGTAAGAACAAAGGTTTTAACATAGCCCGGGCGATACAAAGGAGTGAATTGTATGCGTTGTATTGGTGATTTAAATACATGGATGATTTTGAATAGTGTCAGGGTTCACAAACTACGTACTTCATTCATTTTCGCACCTGGCCTTCTGTTTCAACTGTAGTTTAGACCTATTGTGATTTCCGCCTACTTGGTCCCTAGCATCACCGATGACTCCTTGTAGGACGAAACATATGTTTATAAGGTGTAATTCAGTTTTGGCGTATTGTATCTATTACTAAATTTTAAAAGTGTAATCAACGTTTTTTTGTGTGTGTGTGTGTAACGTGTAACATTTCAAAAATATTTAAACGACCAATCATCACATTCTTATTATCCATCATCACAAATACGTGCTAAATAGTATCAGTTGGATAAGCTTTAGAAAAGGGGAAGCATTCCTGGGATTTTAGATATGCAGGCTGCATAACATGATTTTATCTCGTCAGACTCTCTAAGAGAATAGCAGATTTCAAATAGTTTTGGATATTATTTTTGTTCTTAATGCAAATTTTTCAAATATGCGTTTCTTGTGTTTCTTGTGTATTTCATGAATTTTGAATCTGACTTTGCTTTTGAGTGTGTGACCGCGGTGGCCAAGTGGTTAAGGCGTCTGACATTCTGCTACCACTAGCCCTCCACCACTGGGTCGCGGGTTCGAGACCTACGTGGGGTAGTCGCCAGGCACTGGCCGTAGGTCGGTGGTTTTTCTCCGGGAACTCCGGCTTTCCTCCACCACCAAAACCTGGCACGTCCTTAAATGGTCATAGCTGTTAATATGACGCACAAAGCATAAACAAACTTTTGAGTGTTACCAGACACGAATGTGTTTCATTTGATGTTAGGTAATATTTATTTTTGAAGNAAAAAAAAAAAAAAAAAAAAAAAAAAAAAAAAAAAAAAAAAAGTCCCTAGCTCTGGATCGGATTCCGTCGGCCTTTGGGTCAATCATACCATATATAGTCAATGTTTTAATGTGTCATTAGAGTTTCAACTGAATGTCAACTTCTTCTAAAAACAGGGAAGATAGCAAAGGTTATGTCTACTATGCATCCGACAATTTGATGACGCACGTCCAATGCGGTGATTTAATACTGGTTTGATATTCATCACTCCAATCCCTGCCTCCAATATAGAACATCGGATAACGGAGCACAAATATGTCTCCCTCTCTACTACTAAAAATGGGATTTCGAATTTCTTGACGGTTTTATTACATGCTGTTAGATACAATCCTTCCCGGTCCTGGATGCGTTTTAATTGGTACTCGATATGCCTTTTGGGCTTCAAGAGTAGGCGTGAATTTGATTTATATAACTAATAATCTTGTTAACACCGAGACTAAAATTGGATTCTACCACTAGTTTTATTAAGACCTTGTTAGTGTTTTTTACAGTTTATATGATGTGCATATCTTCCTTATTATCTATCCGTTTGTTTGCTAAAGAAGTGACGTATTTGAATGAAGATGATATTTGTAGTATCACCTATACATTTACTGAGGTAGCACAAGGTTTTCAATCTATTTTACCAATATTAAACATGTTTCATATAAAAAAAAATATATAAACTTAAATAGTGTCTGTGAAAAAAATATACATGTATGTATTTACGTTGCAAGCTGACCCTTTAGGAGCCTCCGTTTCCCCATGCTTTCTTAGTATCAGTTGAGATTTCCGTAAGCTTTTTAAACAGGAAAACATAATGTATTCATAACCCTCAACCACGTGATCAGATACCCATCAACTATTTCAATGTATTTTGAGAATATTTCATTGTGCAATACATTCTTGGTGACCACACACTGTCCTGTAAGTGATGACAGACATATTGAAGGAACTCACATTCGGTGTAGGAAACCCTTTGTATTCCGGAACATCATATTTCCCCTCCGTTTTATTATAATCCATGTCATCCTTCCTGTTGTTTTTGTTTCTCTTTAATTCGATTTTCATGTTTTTGCACCGATTTGAGATCCGATTGTATCCTGGGGTATCGACGCTACTTTTGATACCTCTACATGTATCTTCTTGTTAACTGATGGGTAGAGTATGGCGCTATCACATGCCAGTCAATACATATTGTTACCATACTGTTCGAATAAAGCATTTTTCCTTCTTTCGACGCTGAAATCACCAAAAGAAGGGTGTCACTAATTTCATCCAGGACAATGGCATTCAATACCCCTCAGTTATAAACATTTTATTTAAGAATAATTGCAATTTTGCATTTTAAAATAGTTCAATCTCATTTAAAAAGGCTACATGTGTGTATGATGAGAACATGCAAAATGTCAATAATATGAATAAATACAAATAAAATATTAGCACTTTTTCAACAACAATTATGACAAAGTTTGATTCTGCCATCAACGTTACGTAATACGTGTATTTTATTTATCAAATAATAAATATAATATCATATGCGTACTGTAATGTAATATATATATTATTTTAGAATTTGTAAATAATCTTTTTACGGATGTAATTTTATGACATAATTCACTTGATCATTATGTTAAAGTATTTCCTCGGTTGGACATTTCCCCTCGTTTTGCTGAAGACAAGTTATGTAGATGATTGCATACGGGTAGAATGAATCCATGTAAATGAGTCCCAATGTGTTGGATGTGTTGGCAGATACTATAGAGCTGGGTGTTATTGTTACTGATGGTTTATGGTTAGATTGTAAAATATAATCGGGGTTAAAAGTCGTAGGGACCAGAACTAAGGACACAGAAATAGTGACAACAGACCAGAAGGAGATACAAAAATAATGAAAACAGCAGCAAACAAGGAAACACCAAAATAATGAAAACAACGGCAAACAAGGAAACAACAAAATAATGAAAACAACGGCAAACAAGGAAACAACGGCAAACAAGGAAACGACGGCTAACAAGGAAACAACGGCTAACAAGGAAACAACAGCAAACAAGGAAACAACAGCAAACAAGGAAACAACGGCAAACAAGGAAACGACGGCTAACAAGGAAACAACGGCTTACAAGGAAACAACGGCTAACAAGGAAACAACGGCCAACAAGGAAACAACGGCAAACAAGGAAACAACGCCTAACAAGGAAACAACGGCAAACAAGGAAACAACGGCTAACAAGGAAACGACGGCTAACAAGGAAACAACGGCTAACAAGGAAACAACGGCTAACAAGGAAAAAACGGCTAACAAGGAAACAACGGCTTACAAGGAAACAACGGCTAACAAGGAAACAACGGCTAACAAGGAAACAACAGCAAACAAGGAAACGACGGCAAACAAGGAAACAACGGCAAACAAGGAAACAGCAAAATATTGGAAACAACAGGAATTTAGGCGACATAAAAACAATGGAAATGTTGAAAGAATGGACACGCCAGGAGTTAAGTAGACAAAGAAAAGCAATGGATACAATAGAAATTAAGAAGACACCGACAAATAAGGAAACAAGAAGTTATAAAAAACCGCCAAACAATTAAAAATACAGTAAACAAGAGGACAACAAATTATGGTAAAAAAACAGGATTTAAAGAGAAATCGAAACTATGGAAGCAACAAGAATATGGAGACAACAAAAGCTAAGGAAACAACGGGAACTAAAGACACATCTAAACAATAAAAGCTACAGGAGTTAAGGAGACAATGAAACAATGGAAACAATACGAAAATGTAAACTACATTAGTTAAACTACATTAGTATGAGAACTACGGGAGTTAAGGAGAAACAATGTAAACTACGGGAGTTAAGGAGAAACAATGTAAACTACGGGAGTTAAGGAGAAACAATGTAAACTACGGGAGTTAAGGAGAAACAATGTAAACTACGGGAGTTAAGGAGAAACAATGTAAACTACGGGAGTTAAGGAGAAACAATGTAAACTACGGGAGTTAAGGAGAAACAATGTAAACTACGGGAGTTAAGGAGAAACAATGTAAACTACGGGAGTTAAGGAGAAACAATGTAAACTACGGGAGTTAAGGAGAAACAATGTAAACTACGGGAGTTAAGGAGAAACAATGTAAACTACGGGAGTTAAGGAGAAACAATGTAAACTACGGGAGTTAAGGAGAAACAATGTAAACTACGGGAGTTAAGGAGAAACAATGTAAACTACGGGAGTTAAGGAGAAACAATGTAAACTACGGGAGTTAAGGAGAAACAATGTAAACTACGGGAGTTAAGGAGAAACAATGTAAACTACGGGAGTTAAGGAGAAACAATGTAAACTACGGGAGTTAAGGAGAAACAATGTAAACTACGGGAGTTAAGGAGAAACAATGTAAACTACGGGAGTTAAGGAGAAACAATGTAAACTACGGGAGTTAAGGAGAAACAATGTAAACTACGGGAGTTAAGGAGAAACAATGTAAACTACGGGAGTTAAGGAGAAACAATGTAAACTACGGGAGTTAAGGAGAAACAATGTAAACTACGGGAGTTAAGGAGAAACAATGTAAACTACGGGAGTTAAGGAGAAACAATGTAAACTACGGGAGTTAAGGAGAAACAATGTAAACTACGGGAGTTAAGGAGAAACAATGTAAACTACGGGAGTTAAGGAGAAACAATGTAAACTACGGGAGTTAAGGAGAAACAATGTAAACTACGGGAGTTAAGGAGAAACAATGTAAACTACGGGAGTTAAGGAGAAACAATGTAAACTACGGGAGTTAAGGAGAAACAATGTAAACTACGGGAGTTAAGGAGAAACAATGTAAACTACGGGAGTTAAGGAGAAACAATGTAAACTACGGGAGTTAAGGAGAAACAATGTAAACTACGGGAGTTAAGGAGAAACAATGTAAACTACGGGAGTTAAGGAGAAACAATGTAAACTACGGGAGTTAAGGAGAAACAATGTAAACTACGGGAGTTAAGGAGAAACAATGTAAACTACGGGAGTTAAGGAGAAACAATGTAAACTACGGGAGTTAAGGAGAAACAATGTAAACTACGGGAGTTAAGGAGAAACAATGTAAACTACGGGAGTTAAGGAGAAACAATGTAAACTACGGGAGTTAAGGAGAAACAATGTAAACTACGGGAGTTAAGGAGAAACAATGTAAACTACGGGAGTTAAGGAGAAACAATGTAAACTACGGGAGTTAAGGAGAAACAATGTAAACTACGGGAGTTAAGGAGAAACAATGTAAACTACGGGAGTTAAGGAGAAACAATGTAAACTACGGGAGTTAAGGAGAAACAATGTAAACTACGGGAGTTAAGGAGAAACAATGTAAACTACGGGAGTTAAGGAGAAACAATGTAAACTACGGGAGTTAAGGAGAAACAATGTAAACTACGGGAGTTAAGGAGAAACAATGTAAACTACGGGAGTTAAGGAGAAACAATGTAAACTACGGGAGTTAAGGAGAAACAATGTAAACTACGGGAGTTAAGGAGAAACAATGTAAACTACGGGAGTTAAGGAGAAACAATGTAAACTACGGGAGTTAAGGAGAAACAATGTAAACTACGGGAGTTAAGGAGAAACAATGTAAACTACGGGAGTTAAGGAGAAACAATGTAAACTACGGGAGTTAAGGAGAAACAATGTAAACTACGGGAGTTCAGGAGAAACAATGTAAACTTAGGGAGTTCAGGAGAAACAATGTAAACTACGGGAGTTAAGGAGAAACAATGTAAACTTAGGGAGTTGGGGAGAAACAATGTAAACTACGGGAGTTAAGGAGAAACAATGTGTTAAGGAAACACCGATTGATTTATTTTATCTTATTATATATTGTTAATTTTAAATATATTTCAAATATAGAACTTATGTAGTTAATTATTTAATTAATTAATTCAATTTACTTATTTATTTTATATTGTTATTCATGTTTTTATTTTTATTTTATTGAAACTGTAAAGTAATAACAATAAATACGTTATGTTGATAAACATTAACAGAGAAATGTCATATCCTCACTACTGAATGCACTGATACATTTGTGTATAGTCTAGGTGCTTAAGCTGTATAAGACTTTTTCAAATTTCAATTACTTTTTCGCACAAGAAATCATATGTTATAATAATCGAATTCCCATTCTAGACTCTAAAACGTATTACTGTTGTAAGCTATACTATGTTATTTCTTGATATATGAAAACAGGAACGGATTTCCTTTCAATTCTGTTTTAATCGAAGACAATATCCCCTAGGGTAATAAGACGTATTGTCCCAACAATTCTTCAAATCCTTCTATACATAAAAGAAATGCTATATACATAATGAAATTTTACTTATCATAATGGAACAGAGTCAATATTTTTCTTAAAATTTCTGGGACTACAACGACATTGACCCTTGTCGTCATTATCGTTTAATATTGATCGACCCTCCGATAGTCTACGTCATACATTATCTTTACTTACCTATTCTTTCTATGGTAACCCATGAAATGGAAAGCATTTTTTTATATTATTATCTTAATCTTTTTCGTGTATTTTCCGTGTAAATATTCATTATTTTTGTTTTAAAAAAGTGTGTTTGAATCCACGAGCGTTACATCCTAGTGTAGATGTTATACGGAATACTGTACAATTTATCATTAAAATGTCTGATACTTCATGACGTCACTCGCTCTCTGCTTCTCATCGAGACAGTCCCCACCTCAACAACATCCCGTCGCTTCAACGAGACATCGCAAGCGCGCGACAACCCGAAAGAGTTCCACTACAGCGTGTAAATCACCAAGGCGCTTTGCAATCAATCTGAGGACGAGGCTAAATTGAATTTACGAAATTACAGTAATTATTTCGCTGGTAAATAATTAATGATAGAATGAGCGGGGAAAGTTAGAAGTGTCAGGAACAGACACACGTTGTCTTTATGGGGTCTGAGCAGTACCGACCACAGCGACCCCTGCCGTCAAGCGAAACACTCGTGCTGGTAAAAATGGCACTTTTCTTCCTTATAAGGGCAACCCGTCTGTTAAAATACCGCTCGACTCCCTTATATTGATTTAAGATGGAATCAACATTTGCCATTTCAGACAAATTAAAAATTCATGATAATGAACGTTATGAATTTTGTATTGCTTTATGAAAATGATTTTATGGCGCTGATGATTTTTATAATTTAGCATCCTATAATACTTCCGTATCAGTACATACATAATTTAAATGTCAAAGTTTTTTTTTTATCGATCTTTTAAAAATTCCAACTAACCACCGCAAGAGATTTTTACTTAATTTATCATTCTAAGGTTTGTATAATCCTGAATGGCGGCCATTGTCGGAGGTAGGGGTATTACACATTTTACTGCGCGGTGAAACAACCACTACTGTTTTAATTGTCTTTAAAAGGAACTTTTCAATGGTTTTTTTTTCTTTCAGTACAAATCATGACATTCCCTCAATAAAGATATTCTTGAAATATTTTTTAACTCTAACTCAAATAATACCACAACATTAAGACACGTTCATGACGTTGACCTTTGTCTAGGGAAATGACGTTCATTTTATGTCCAACAGCGGACAATCCTTGCTCTTTTTTAAATCCTCAAACTGATTATACAAAATGTATTCTAACATGATAAACTATACGTAAGTGATGCAGTTCATTTCAACACAGAATTGATTAAAGATGATATTTAAAAATGTATTTCAAACGTTCTCGCCCTCCTCGATTAACGTCAAAAGAAAACAAGATGCGCACTTTATTTTGTGAATTCAGTCTTTGATAGCTGGTATGTGTATGGTCCTTCATGTAATAAATTATGTAAACTTCATTTTTATCATTTTTGAAATTAATGAACGTTAAACGGTGAAGTATGGTCGATTTCTTAATACAATGGTTTTTCATGTCTGAGGACCCGAGACAATTAAACCTATTATGATTAACATCAAATAAGATAAAATGCAAAAGAGAATTATTTTATTGAAATAACACCCTCAAGATATTTGTTTTGTGTTTTTTATTTATTGACATGATGTTATTGCTTTCCTTTTTTTTTTAAATTATTTTTCTTTTTCTATTGTTATGAAAGAGAGAGAGAGAGAGAAAGAGGGAAAAAGAAAAAGAAAAAATCATTAATATGAAATGTGTCTGATTGTGCATCGATTAGTGTGACTTTTTGACGTAATTTTAGATGAGCACGTAAAATATCTAATAACCAGTGAAAACAAAATTTCATCGTTATTTAGTCATGAATAAAAAGGCGCTAGAAAATCGATAAGGGAACGCCAGAGAAAAAATCACGCTGTGTTTTAAAATATTAAGTAACACCGACCATCAGATATATCCCTGTCTAATTGAAATACGGGATCGGGTATTTTCGGAATAGTCGGAGTAAAATCCAAGCCTTGTCTAAAACACTAAGATAGATCGTCTACAGGCGATATTCTTTCTTACAACGAGGCCGCTTACATCTTAAACTACGCGTGAGA